CCACCAATAATAACAACCATCAAAGAACAACATCTGCCTATCCCAGGTCCTTGGGCAGGACTCGATAGGTGGATAAAAATGCCTATATAATCTAATAATAATACAGCGCTTCCTAATACTGTATTCAAAGCGCTATAATGTATTCTCATACTGCAAGGTTGTTTTTTTCCAATTTGGAGGAGAATAAATAGAACTATCATTCCACACTGGTGCAGGGCATCTGTTTTAGGAAATTCACAGTATGGCCCTTAGCATTATTTTCATTCCCATACTGAGGCTGAGAGGGGCAGCTGACCTACGGCTTCCTGAGGCCAGAGGTGAGGGTTGCAGCTGGAATTCTTTGATCTGCAGCATCGAATCCAATTCTACAGAGAGCTGCAGTGTTGCCCCAATAGTTTTTTTTTTTTTTAACAAAAAGCAGTTTGGGCCTCCTGGTTGTGTTTTTCCAGCTCTTGCAATGAGCATCACCAAAAAGCACCCATTGCTAAATCCATGGAAACGGCAAATGGACCCACGCGGGGTTGTGTGTGCACGTCAAAGACAAGCCTCTGTTGTGATGCTCAGAAATGATGGAGAGGCTTTTCCCCTCTGTGACTGAATCAAAACCTTTAGATCCTATGCCAATGTAAATTGAAAGGGGGGTGGGTGACCTGGAACCTCTTGTCAAAAGCCTTTTGCAGCAAGAAATGCCAACCATGGGCAAAAGTGATCGGTCCCTTCCTTGGCAGCTTTCGATGAGAAGAAAAAAGTCAAGACTTCATTTGAAGGCTTGGGCTCTGCCTCCGATCAGAAAAATGTTGTGAGCCAAAACACCCAGAAGGAGCTCCAGGAAGATGCATCCTGGGAAGTAAGCTTTACTCCAGAGTTGCTTGCTCCAAACAACTGATTATGGTTAATCCATATTGGCTGTGTTTGGAGAGACAGCATAAAAGCACTAACAGGCTGCTAATGAAATCAAGCTAGCATTTGCTTGGAGTTTTCAGTTGTGTTATTCAGGTTTAGGAGTGAGGTTCCTTGTGGTGCAAAGTTGGGGTTTGTTGAAACTTGGTGTGTAGAAATAAACTACACTGGATTGATCAACATTGATGTCCTGTTGATAAACCTCAGGGGCTGGGTGTGGAAAGTCAGACCTACAGAGGTGACATCATGGCTGACTGGTATTTATGCCTCTAGCCCTCTGCAAGAATTCTCTGCCTCTGTACTAGATGGTCCTGCTTTGACTTCTTGGTTGACTTGCAACTCCTGGTTTGTACTGGGTCTGCTTGGTGAGTAGAACTCTAGTAACTTATTCCAGATCAGAGAGTGACGAAGGTGTGGCTCTCAGACTGGGAAAGGTTGGAAAAAGGGGTAACAATTATCAGAAAAAATGGGGGTACCCCTTATTGGGGTTGAGTTATGGGACCACCTGCTAACTGTTGCCTCCTGCCCACCCTTAGTCTCTGATGTTCTTTGCATCTCAGTGAATTATTCCAGAGCAGTGTTTCTCAAACTTGGCAACTTGAAGAGGCGTGGACTTCAATTCCCAGAATTCTGGGAGTTGAAGTCCACACCTCTTAAGTTGCCAAGTTTGAGAAACGCTGCTCTACAGGATGTTTAGAAAGGATGTCCACCTGGATGAGACCCAAGATCTGTTGGATGCAACATTCTTCTCCCACTTCCCAGATATTTCCCAGAGAACAGGTCAGAGAGACTAGCTGGCATGTGTTAATCCCTAGAAACCGACAATCAGCAAAATAAGTGTGGTTTGCTTGGTGTGGGGTTAAACCTCACCCTTGCAATTTGTAGACCAACTTGTTCAGGTTAATGTAGAGTAAAGCAACTTTGGGGGTTGGGGGCACTTTGGGAGCTTGTAAATGGCTGCCTTCGGGGAGCTCAGTGGGTCTGAAACCATTGCTGCTAATAAATAGGATGCTAAGAATTGGTATTTTGCAACAGTCCGGCTTCCTCTTTAGAACTTTTATTAAAATAATGTTTTCCAAAATGGGAAACCGTCTGGGGCAGTGTTGTCCAAACTTGGCCACTTTAAGATGAGTGGACTTCAACTCCCAGAATTCCCCAGCCAGCTCATCTTAAAGTGGCCAAGTTTGGACAATACTAGTCTGGGGAGCATTAAGAATGCAGGGAATCAAGCTCCCTGCAAGCACCATTTCACCTACCCCTAGCTTAATTGAGGGGAACTGATCAATTGTGGTTGATTCAAACCATGATTAAACAAACCATGGCTTAGTGAGACAGGTATGCCCAATGTCCTCTGAAGGTGAGAAGATTCAATTCTTCGCCATTCTTGCTAGTTAGCAGAAATAAGTTGCATTTACTACAAATCCCAATGAATCCTTTGGAACTGTAAATTATTGTTCATGACACATATGCGATGCCTAATGGTCACTACTCATCTGTGCAAATAAACCTATCAAGAACTTTTCAGAGCAAAAAAAAAAAAACTGGAGTTGTTGCTTCACTAACAAACCATAGTTTCCCATCTAGAGTTGGGTTACAGTTATCAAGCCCAGGATTCAGAGGCCGAAGTATACATTCTTCCATTGCTGAAAGCTCTTGGGTTAACAGAAGAAGGCCACCCACGTGGTGTTAGGCGGCTTGCATTGCATGCTAGCTTGTAAAGGATAAACCAGGATTCAGATTTCCAGATATGACTTGTGTTTTCTTTTGCAAATGCAGCCATGGATAATGACATTGATGGTGCGATGTTTTAAAGGAATTTCTGCTACCCCAACTTCCAGTGGCAATGAGTTCCACAGGCGAGGTAGAGAATTTTCTCACAGGGACAGCTGCCATTTCCTTGAATTTTGATATTACAAAGCCACACTTCAACGTGACATTAAAGGTCGCTTTGAAAAGAAGCATGGAGGCTTTAAAGTTTTGGCACCAACCCGATTTGGCAGGCACTGATGGTTCTAAACCTGTCTTCCACGCCGTGTTTGCAATTAGAGGAACAGGCATTACTCCCCAAAGCGATTGGTTTTGATTCAAGATTTTCAGCGGCTAATCCCTATTCAACCATTTCAGGAATAATTAACCATAATGGTGCTCTCCGGTCTAGCCTAGTTCTCACTGACTTATGCACTGGACAGAAGGGACTAGTCTTTCCTATTGAAAAATGCTTGAGAGCTTGTATTCTGTATTCGTTTATCTTTTCCTGGGGCAGCAAGTCGTGTCTTGTCAAACCCCAGTTCGATTCAAAATGGGACAGTCCAACTTCTATCACTGCCTGAAGGACTACGCCCTTGTCTTCAGTTTTCTGTACCTCTTACAGACGTGCCTCTGAAGGCCTCTTCCCATGGCTGGGTTCGCACAACTTGGCTACCAAATTAGCTTGTCTTCAGAGTGGATTTTCAAGGAATTGTAAACTAAGCAAACCAGGCTAGGCTGGCACAAGGCACCAACCCCTGGAAAACAAACTCAGATTTTCAGGCCAACCAAGATGCGGGTGATGTGTGAATTCAACCATGGTGAATTTAACTGACTGGGTGAGAAATCTTACAGGACGTCTTCCCAGTGAGAGTAAATGTCGGTTTTTTCAAACTTTCTGGATTTTCCTGTTCTTCCCCCTCCCCTTTTTTCTTTTGTTTATTTTTTT